CAGGCAGAAGAGAGACAATGGAAGTCAAGCCACTCGAGAGGGAGCAGAAGTTTCGGACTGTGCAGACAGGTTTTTCCAGGTATCCTACGGAGACTCGTACTTGCTACCAGTGTGGTGAGAAGGGGCATCTGAGTGCCAATTGCCCGCAGAAGATGAGGAGAGTATCACTCACTGAGGGCGTCATCAAGTACGAGGGGGCAGGGGAGACCCGGCCTCGAGTCAGGCTTCAGGGAAATATGGGGAGCATTCCTCAGGAGGCCTCGGAGTTTGACGATGTCCGTCCAGAAGACTCAGCATCTCAGGTGGGCGGACAATATCTGGGAACTATGTCTACGGTTGGAGGAGGTGTCAAGAAGAGCTTGCCACCACCACCACCTCCACCTCCGATGGGTGGAAGCCCAAAGATTGCCAGGAGCAGACCAGGCGTTCCGCCGCAGACTTCAGCAGCTATGCGGCCACCACCAGCGCCAAGTGCGAGACTTCCGGCTAAGTTTTCTCAGGACCCACCTCTGGGAGAAGCTGCCTCCTCGAGCAGAGAAGTGAGGAGACCTAAAACTCCACCCAAAACACCGCCAAAGAGACCACCAAGCAAGGCACCGCCAGTGAAAGGTGCGCCACAGAAGACCCAAGGGACAGAGAAGGCAAAAGGGACAGAGAAGTCCAAAGCGACTGAGAAGTCCAAGGCGACAGAGCCAGCAACAGAGATCAGAGGCTCGGTTGGGAGAGTCGTGGAAGAGGCAGCTAAGGCGGCACCTGCGACTGTGGATCTTGTGACGCCGAGCACAGCTGTGGATGTTGGAACCCCAGCTTCAGACAGTGCGGGGGAATGGGGATGTCCATCTTACCGTGGCACAAGGCTATGGAAGATTGTCAGCACTTACAGTGCACCAACCGACGCCAGCGAACTCACAGGCGGCGACGCCTACATCTCCAGCAGGAGATTCCCTTGTGGCTGGAGAAGCACCAGGACAAAGTTCAACTCACTGGTCGAATGCTCCGGTGATCTCACCGGTACCATCTACACCACCGCCAGCACCGGTGGGAGGCGAGACAGAGGTTTGTGTGGCATGCCAAGGGAGTGGATTGCTGAACTCGCAGGTGAATCTGCGATTGTTCCGACTTATCGGAACGGGGGAGGCTCCGTTTGGCGGGGCCGATTGCCCAAGTTGCACCAGTGACCCCGGCTCCGGCCGCACCTGCGACCCCGGCTCCGGCCGCACCTACAACACCAGCTCCGGCAGCTGCAAATCCCACTGGACCTGGTAACGGGACCGAAGTCAGTCCAAGCCTCAGTGAGAACTCAGGTAGATCTCGTACTCCAACTCGTTCAGGTGTTTGCAATGTGACTGAAGATGGAAGTATGACCATGTTTGATTCAGGTGGAAATCTTTTGATTTTGGAGCTTGCTTGTGGTGTTGACTCAGTGATTCAAAATGCTTCTAGGGAGTTTGGATGCAGTTACATTGGAATTCATGCCGGTTTGGAGCTTCTTTCAACTCAACGTCAGGCCTATAAGTTCTTGAAGAGCTTTGCTGAGGGATCTTCCGGTAGTGCGGATTCACAGAAACTGATTCAGGTACACATTTCTCTTCCCTGTACTGGGGGTAGCCCTTTGTTGGACTTATCCAAGAAAGACAGGAAACCTGCTCAGGACGCATATTTCAGGCTTCTTGATCATTGCAAGAGATATGTTTCATATATCAAGGGCATGAGCAATGTGTGTAGTGCTGTGACTCTGGAGCTTCCGAAATCGAACCGTTTTTGGTCAGACGAGAGATTGAAGAAGTTTCTAACTGACCACGACATGCAAAAGTTTGCGGATTGTGCTGCATGTGCCATGGGTTTGGAAACCAGTCAGGGACAGCCTATTGGTAAAGTCTTTCGCATTGCATGTTCGGATCAAGTACTTGCCACAGGTCTTGGAAAGAGATTTCAGTGTAAATGTACTCAGGACCACGCTCCATTGAATCAGGTCAACTATTCGATGACGGAAAGATACTCATATAAGTTTGCCAGATTCTATTGTCGTGCCATTGCACTTCGTTGGATTGATCAACAGGAAGAAACATCATGATTTTGTTTGTCATTGACTGCAGTTTGCATCAGTTTGCATTTCGTGTCAGCAGTTTGACTTCAGGAAAGCACAGTTTTCTTTTTTAGCTGAACCGTTCAGTAGAATTTGCATGTTTGCATGGTTCACAGCGGATTCAGGGACATTTGATTGTCAGGCACAGTTTTCAGTGAAGACTTCACTAAGTGAATTCTCAAAGCTTGTCATCAGGAATCAGGTGATGACATCAGTTTAGTTTCAGGAGCCTATCAACTCCGTTGAGAGAGTGCTCGCATCAGGACGCTCACACTCCAGTTGTTTTGTTCTGTTGTGTGTGTGTGTTTTCTTTTTCGTGTAGCCCGGGCCGGCCGCGTCGCGTTCGCCAGCCATGGATGAGCTTCTCATAGTGGTGCTATTTTCTGCATTGACTGGAGTGATGATTGGATCTTTGGGGACAGTTGTTATATTCTGGCTTTGTGGAGCACTGGAACGTAAGACAGTTATTGAGAAAGTTAGTCCAGAGTTGAGGGATGCGACAATTCAGGCTGAATATACTCAGGCTACATCGGATGAAACGTCAGACTTCAGACAAATGCACAGCTCAGACTTCGTCTTCTTATCATTTGTACATTGGAACTGCGGAGACGTGTTATCATCTTGATCGCCGTTGTCGTCGTTATCCAGATTGGGACAATGTGAAGAGAGGGCTTACAATTTGTGAAATCTGCCGTATTTCATCTTCGACTTTTGAGATTGGGCAATGTATTTTTGTTTCTGAACAAGGACAGAAGTTTCATTTGACCCGATTTTGTCGTACTTTCAAGAGTCTGCCAGTGACTGAATATGCAAGGTGCACTGCATGTTGTACACTGGAACATTCTACACAGGTTTTATTCGGAGATTCAGTACCTCGCCAGCGAAGAACTGCTTCGTCAACTTCTTCTATTGCAGGTATGTCAGAGGACTAGATTTTTCTAGATTGGAATGCGACGCCATGACTTTCTGGATTGCATTGCATTGCATTGACTGCACTACGTATTGGACGAAGACTCCATACTGACCTCTCATCGAAAGGGGGTGTGAAAATCCTACCTGGTATAGCGCTGAGAGATCAGTGACGTTGCACAGTTTTGATTTCACCAAGTATCGTCTGTGGACGAGCCTATTTTGACTTGGAACGATTGTGAATGGACAGATCGTAGTTTGTAGTTTTGATTTGGCCGAATATCATCTGTGGAAGATATACTTTTGGACGTTTTGGATGATCGATGCTTCATAGAGCATCTTGTGACACTCAACGAGCACAACCGACACTGCGGTTGCACTCGTCTCGTTTTGTAGTTGAGAGTTGTGATGTTTTTGTAGGAAACCGAACATTATTTGAACAGTTTGGAAATATTTCAACATCTTGCATGGGTTTGAGAACCGAATGAAAGCTTTTGATCCTCAGTGGATCGCTTTTCGGAATTTCGTCAAGACTGGAATCCAGTTTGCCGTTTAGACAAAAACCCCTCCTTGGTTTTTGTCACCTTTAAACAGTATTTGAACTGAATGGTCAACGATACTCGTTGGCTCAAGCCCGAGCGAGAGAAACAGAGTGTGTGTTGAAGCGTTGCTTGTTGTCTGGAGTGATTTGAGCGAGAGAGCACGGAAAGTTTGACTCACGTTTGTTTGTTTGTGGAAAAGCCTTTGGGTAACTTTGATCGCGATAGGTTTTGTTTTGGTTTTCAAGGCACAACTTAGCGGTGCAAAGTTTTACGGCTCTGATGACTCGCTAAAGAACACCTGAGAGGATGCTGAGAGGCGTATAGCTTTCGCAGTGTTGCCGCCAATTCTATCTTGCACCATCTCAAGTTAATTCATTCTTTTTGGCGGATAGATGCTGACTGCAGTGGTGGGCATTTGCTGCTCCCATCACTGCTACAGTATTGCAGAGGAGGCCCGCACATGCGAAGCCTGATTTCAATTGACTTTCCGGCCCCAAAAATGGAACCTGAAAGCGCACATGTGGTATCAGCTGTCTCCGTTCACTGGCTCCAAGCAATGTGGCGATTGCGATACAGCACGACCCAGGCAACATACGACACCAGGACAAAAGTTTTTCCTCTTGACTGCTGCAGCAACCCTCTCCCCTTAGACTCCTGACAGGTCTCATATGAATCACATGGCGGATCGCGGATCAGCTGGTTTGCTTTAAGCATGCGGTCAACAACGTTGATAGCGCATTAAATCTAGGGACGAGAAAATTTTTCTCATAAAAAATTTCAGCCAAGAAGACTTCACCTTTTCTCCTGTGTGCTACAACGGTTTGGCATTTCAGATTATTTGAATTGACCTTGGTTGAAACAAAACTTGGCCTCAGCATGTTGATTCTCTTGTGTGGCAAAATCCTTTTATAGTTTATCCCAAACTTCGTGCAGATCCATTCTCCGGAAAATACTTGCCGTAGTTCACCTGCAGTGAATAAAATTCCATGTTGCGAAGCTTGCAGTGGGTGCATGAAAATCATGTCCATTTTGCCTCAAAGTTTTGTTTCAAGCTGGAAAATTGTTTTTGTTATGACGGGCGCGCGTCGACGCGGCGTTGTTGCCTGCACCACCCAGATCACTCTGAGATCATCCGGACCTCAGCGACATTTGCTCAGCCTTTACCTTGCAGTATTCTCTCACAGTTTGGTTTTTGCAGTCGGCTGGATCACTTGTTTTTTCTGGATTCTCTTCGGTTAAGTGGGGGTTCTTGGACTTTGTCATGGACCTGAATGAAGTTGATGACACATTTGCTCATGACAGTGCATCGCTTGATGTTTTTCAATGTGCTGGAAGTTTTGCAACGGATCATTCTATGTTTGGCCATGCAGATGATCAACCTGGTTTGGATGACAATCCGTTTGGTGATCCTTCTTTACATGAGCCAGATAACCATGCCATCACCTCATGTCCGCTCTTGTCAGGTGAACCTTTTGATGCGCCCCCATCTCATCGACCTGAACTTGGAGCTGCAAACAGCTTGGGTCTGGAACCTGTTTCCGGGACTGTGAGAGGTTTTGACATCGAGTCGCAACCGACCTTGCCAGCACATGTCCATGATGCCTCATTTGCCAGAGCATTGCTTTCGAACTGTCGAACGACTGACATTGTTTTGCCTTGGGAAACCAGTTTTTATAAGGAATTGTTCGGTGATGAGCCATTCAGTCAACCCTTAGTGCCAGAGATGCCGATCGGACCCTTTTGCGATTTCAGTGGTGAGCCGGAACCTCAAGTGGTCGCACAAACCGTAGCTGCAGTTGCGAGTTTTCCCAGTGGGACGCCTGTTTTTTCTGCATGTGTTGGTTCTACAGATGATGGACCATTTGTTGCAGTGCAGTCTAGGCTCCACAATACAGCAGTACAGAAGTTGCTTGTTGTCTTGCGCCACGACTTGAGCAGCAGTGAAACTGGGAGACATATCCTCGCACTTGGCGATGAGACGGCACAACAGCAGGGAGCCCACAAGATCATCGAAGCTGTCATTGGTACCAGGGCACCTTCTACCCTGGTCAAGCGTTCCAATGCATTGCTTTCGTATTTGAGATGGTTTGACAAGTTGGGAAGGGCCGAACTTGACCCATTTACAGAGGCTTGCATTTGGATGTACTTTCAGCACCTGAGAGAGGATGCGGCACCATGCACTAAGGGCAGTTCCGCTCTATCGGCATTCAGGTTTGCTTTTCATTTGCTGGGTTTTGAAGGTTTGGGGCCAGCATTGAACAGTCGTAGGCTGATTGGCATCTGCGAGCTGATGCTGGCACAGAAGCGACTGCTGAAACAAGCACTGGTTTTGACGGTTGCCCAAGTGAAAGGTTTGCACAAGTCACTGCGAGATGGGAACATGCACATCATGGATCGAGCTGTAATCGCTTACATTCTCTTTGCCTTGTATGGAAGATGTCGGAACAGTGACTTGCTAATGATTCATTCAGTTGAGCCCGATTTCTCAGGAGATGGTGGCTATGTCACGGTGCAGACCTGCAACCACAAGACTGGCAGGATTGCAATGCTGAAGTCGCGCCTTATGCCCATCGTCATACCGGCCAGAGGTGTTGACGGACTGGTTTGGGTTGGTGACGCATTGAATGTTTTTGAGGAAGCTGGAGTCGCATTTTGCACACCAATAGATGGCCCTTTGCTCCGTGCCCCATTGGGAACCCCGGGCGAGTTCATGCAACGAGGTTTGAGAGCCTCCGAAGTTTCCGCCCTGGTTCGAAGATTCATTGGGTCACCCGAGCCTTGTGATGTGCCTTCAGGTGCTGCCGTGTCGAGCCATAGCCTTAAAGCCACTACCTTATCTTGGTGTGCTAGGTACGGTTTGAGCCCAGCTGTTCGGTCTATTCTTGGAAGACATGCCTCTAGCTTGAATGAGACCTTTGCAATCTATTCCAGGGACCTGGTGTGTTCACCCGTAGCTGAGCTCCAAAAAGTCATTGATGCAATTGCCGAAGGCAGTTTCCAACCAGATTCGCAGCGATCAGAGTTTTTCAGAAGCCGCAGCCCTGCCGTTGCACAGGATGGAGCTCAGGAAGACGCTGATCATGGCGCTACCAACGAAGTTGCGCAGAGCCAAACTGAGGGCGAGAGTAATGTCAGCTTGCTTCTGGAGTGCTCAGGTGGGGAGGTTGTCCCGACCGAGTTGGACCCAGGCACCCAAGAGCAGATTGATGGTGAAGAGGCCGCCGACCCTGAGGCTGGGCCAGGTGCAGATGTTCCCTCTTGCAGCTCCTCATCGGATTCAGATGACGCCTTGTCCTCAGCAGAATCGGTGGAGCATGAGTTCACACCCAGGGTGAAAAGATTCCGTGCCAAAATCCCTGAAAACCAGCTTTGGTTTGTGCATTCGAAATCTCATCTTGTGCACAGACATGATGGGGATGTCCATGACGGCATCATGTTCACAGTGTGTGGAAGGCGCATTACAGGCACTTATAGCCCATGCACAGAGGCTACCGCTTGGAACATTTTGTGCAAATCATGCAACCGCAAATGACATGCATCAAGCCGATGCGCCTTGATGACTGGCGATGATGCCACAGGAAAACGGGGTGCTGCGCCCCGCATGAAATTCTCATGTGATGTGTCATGCCATTGGGTATGAACCCAGTTTGTGCAGATGGCTATGCAGCCCATGGATTGCGAGGGATGTACCTCTTGCATTGTCAGCAAACCGCTGTCGCCTTGGTTCAAGAATTCTTGTGCATGACAATGAACTTTTCATTAAAACAAAACTATTTGACACCGCCCTCATGTTTGAAAAATCAAGTTGTTTAAAGGGTCTTTAAATAGGCACACCTGCATAGTTTGTTGGTCTGCTCCCATCGCCGCCAAACCCTTGTGACAGCCATGACTTCAATTGTCGATTCGGAGGCCCACTTTGACCTACGCCTTGACCAAGTCAATGTCCCGACTGCCTTAAGGTTAGCGCTGAAAAACTCAGGTGTGAGCACAATCTCAGCCCTTGCATATTCATTTGGCCAGCCAGGTCAGCCAATAGCCAATGATGAGTTCACCCAATGGGTTAGGCAACTGGACCCTGCTGCGACGGTGGGAGGCGTGGCTTCTCTCAAGAGATTGCTTTTTGAAAGCCAGACACAGCTGCTTGCATTGCTCAAAGAGCAAGTGACGAATCCTGACCCCGCAACAGCAAAGAAGGTACCACAAGCTGAAAAAGAAGCACGGTTGGCTAACTTGCGAGCACGGTTGTCAGGAGTGCTCATCGAAGGACATGCCGAACCTGCCCACTCGCTCCTCGACCAAGCCTCCCAGATGTATGATCAGAACATCTTGAGATATATCCCATTGGAGAAATGTTTTAGCCGGTTGACAGAGCTTTCAGTTTCTACGAAGGCACCCGCAAAGCACCTTGAAGTGGAATCATCGAAGATAGTGGTCAAAGACCGCGAGGTGGATCATGAGGCATCGGTCCAATCGTCTTACCAAGCCTTGGAATCTTTCAAAAGGCGTGGATTGGCCCTGGACTTCGCTGGAATCATGTCGTTTTCCAAACATGATCGCTACGTTCAGCTGTTGTTCAATCATTTGAATAGGGAACCGCCTGTCGGCTATAGCCGTTGTAGCGTTTCTCAATTGCTTGCTGCAGATCGTGCAGCCTGGTGCCACCTTATCGAAGTGAACACGAAGCCTAGGCCAGATGCCGCAGGGGTCTCAGCACTCGACACGAAGTTGGAAGAGGCCCTCAAGTCCTATGAGGTGAGTTTCACATTGCTGCCAGCGCCCTCAAAACAGGCTGTCCCTAAAACAGCACCGGCACAACCCTCAGCAGGAGGTAAGCCAACTGCACCTGCAGCTGCAAAGGGAAACCGGAAGGGCTCCAATCGGTTCCGACCTTACTCCTCCAAAGGAAAGGGCAAAGGAAAGGGCAAAGGAAAGTTCAAGGCAGATCAACGAGTGCCACGTGAAATCAGGGAGGCCGGTGGTACTGCCTCCATGCCAACCGGAGAGCCCATATGCTTTGATTTTTCATTGAAGAAATGCAAGGAGCCTGTGGAGGGATCACGTTGCAAAAAGGGTTTCCATGTTTGCGCAATTTGCTACGGGCAGCACTGCATGCTGGATCACAAAAGGGCTTGACTACCTCAAGCCCCTGAACCCATTGAGATGAACTCAGCTTGTAAACGCAAGTCATCAGACACCGCTGTGGACTTGCATGAGCTACCCATCCAAGACCCGCCAAAGCGCTGCCGTAGTGACAGTTATGAAAACAAAGCAGTGCAAAAATTTCCCAAACCAAGACATCCTGACACTCCGCTGATCCCTGAAACGGACATTGGTGATCGTACAGGTGATGTTTTTCCTATGCAAAGCCCAAGCACACCAGTGCCTATGCCACATGTTTTGCCGCAGGAGCCTAAAGAAGCTCCCAAATTCACTTGTACAGAGCAAGCCTTTTCAAGCCAAACCATGCCAAAGGACCCCTTTTTCATTGAATTGTGTGCCGGGTCGGCTAGGGTCACCACGTGCCTGCAATTTTTTGGATTGAAATCCTCATTCGGAGTGGATCATAAGCGGCAGAAAAACTCTGGACGACTGCTTACAGCGGACCTCACCTCCGAAGAAGGCCAAGCCATTTGCATCCAATGGCTGTCCTCACCAAACTGTGTTGGCATATTTGCTGCGCCGCCTTGCGGCACTTGTAGCCGAGCGAGAGGGATCCCCCTCCGCCTGCCAAATGGTAAATGGGTCCCGGGACCAAAGCCAATGCGCACTGATGATGAACCTGATGGCATCAAGACGTTGACTGGTACTGCAAATTTGCGTGTTTGTTCAGCGAACACCCCCTATGCTTTCATCACGAAGATCTGTTTGCTGTGCCTTGATGCCCGGAAAATCATTTGCATCGAAAACCCTCGCTCCTCCTTATATTGGCGGACTTCTTTCTTTGCACCCTTGAAACATCGGCTGACCTTTACGGTCCACCAGGCATGCGCCTACGGTTCCGACAGACCTAAATGGACATTGCTGGCCCATAACACCATGACTTTGCATAACCTTAATAACCTCTGCCCGGGATTAGGCCCCCATCATAAGCATAAACCTTGGGGTTTAACAAATAATGGCACCGCCTTTTCGACTGCCGAAGAGACAGCCTACCCCATGAAACTTGCTTTCCACATAGCCTTTTTCCTTGCACAGCAAGTCATGAAGCTGGGTTGGAAGCCGCCTGCAGGAGAACTGTGCATGCCAGATGAAACCTCGTACCCATACTTGCGGTCCATTGCAGGGGTCCAACCAAAATCCAGTAAACTGCCACCATTAGTCTCGGAATTTGAAACCTTCCTTGACGTGTTAGTCCCCAGCAGTTGTGTACCACCTGTAGCACACGGTGACAAACTAACTTCACCATGGCTCCATGTCCCCGTAGGTGCTTGCTTGCTCAAAAAACCATTGCGGTTAATGGGGGGTGAAAAACCTGAAACTGAAAACCCCCAACAACAGAGCGATAGGGCTGACATGAAGCGGCTCACCTTTGGGATTTTCAGGTCTTGTGAAAAGTTTGTGGAACGTGCAGTTGAAGTGGGCCATCCGGGTGGAAAGGAGGCTCGGTTGCCAAGTGTGCTGAGTGAGGCAATTCGCTTTCTTGCAGAGAACTCGGAGAGGCGTGTGGCAGAGGTTCGCTTAGCAGAGCTCAAACGCTGGCTGTCCAGGGCCAAAGAATTATCAGCTGCTGAAGCCGAGCTGCACCAGTCCTTGCCTGATTCGGTTAAAGGTATTCTTGCCCCGAAACGCCTCCTCCTGTGGAAAGAGATGATGGCCCACTATCAATACCCTGACTGCAGAGTGTTTGATGAGGTCATTGAAGGAATTTCCCTATCGGGCACCGCCACGCATGTCAACTGTTTCGAATCTTGCTTCAAACCTGCAAAGATCACTGAGGAGGAGTTGGCTGCTACGGCCCCGGCCAGTCGCAAGTGTCTTTTGGCTTCCGTGCGATCCTCTGGTGATAGCTTCATCGATGAGGAAGTTTTTGCAAAGACCCAGGATGAAGTTGCTTGCGGTTGGTTGGTGGGTCCCATTGACCCCGCTGAACTGCCATCGAATGCGGTGATCAGCAGACGCTTTGGGATAAAGCAGGGGTCTGGGGAAAAGCTGAAGGTCAGGCTGATAGATGATTTTTCCGCCCCAGGGGTCAACTCCACCGTCCAGGTCGACAGCAATGCAAAGCTCCACACCCTGGACGTAGTTGCCGCGCTGTGCATGGAGCTGTTGAGGCTGACTCCTCAAAAAGTTTGGGTCGGCAAAACAGTGGACCTCTCGGCGGCGTATCGCCAACTGGCAGTCTCGCCAACCTCGCTGTGGGTGTCGTACATTGCTGTGTTTGATCCAGTGAGCAGGGCTCCGAAGATCTACTCCATGCGGGCTTTGCCCTTCGGCGCTTCCCGCTCTGTGTATGGATTCCTAAGGGTAGCACACTCCCTCTGGTGGCTGGGTTGCCGTATGCTCAAGTTGGCTTGGTCGAATTTCTTCGACGATTTTGTGACCTTGGCACGGGAGGGTGAATGCGAGTCCGTGGCCATAGCCGTTGACCAGTTCTTCAAGTTGTTGGGTTGGATGGTTTCGGCTGGAGAAAAAGATCTCCCCTTCTCTGATAAGCTCAGGGCCTTAGGTGTTGAGGTTGACTTATCTGCTTGGACTGCTGGGGTTGTTCGCTTTGCTAACACAGAGCAGCGTACAGCCGAACTTTCCGCAAAGATTGACGAGGTCCTCCGCTGTGGGAAGCTTGCTGTGCCAGAAGCCTTGGCCCTGAGAGGACGCATGCAGTTTGCCAATTCTCAGTTGTGGGGTAGAGCGTCGAAGTTGTGCTTGAACGCGGTTACCGCTCATGCTTATTCGGGTGTTGGCCCTGATGTCCAATTTGACCTGGCCCATTACTTGAATGTTTTCAGGCAATGCCTTCTCCAGTCAAAGCCTCGTGAGGTGACCTCCTCGTGGGGCGACCCGCTGTTCCTTTTTACAGATGCCAGCTTCAGCCCGGACAGCGAAACTTGGCCCTGTGGCCTGGGAGGGGTGCTAGTTGACCATAATGGGACGCAAGTGGCTGCTTTCTCGTGCAAGCTTGATTTCGATTTACTGAAAGTCCTGGGTTACCCTTCGAAGTCGACGGTGATATTTGAAGCCGAGCTGCTTGCTCTCCTTGTTGGTATGACCCTCTGGAAAAAGAAACTGCGTGGCCGACCGTGTGTCTGCTACGTGGACAACAATGCAACCAGAGATGTTGCCATTGCTGGGAGAGCTCGCACTCAGCCGGGCCTGAGCTTGGTGATGGACTTGCTGCAGTTGGAAGACGAAGTTGGTTTTGAACGCCTGGTACGCCCGAGTTCCTTCAGCCAGCAACATTGCAGACGGCCCGTCACGTGACGACCTTAGTTCCCTGTTAGTAAAACCCACCCCTAGGGAATTAGTCCACCTTTTGGTCAAAAAGATCCTTTCCAAATATGTCTCATGCGGTTAAGATGGGGAGTTGAATGCTGGAGTTGAATGAAAGATGGTGAAAAGTTGTGAGTGGTCGATGATGACCATATGTGGTGGCCGATGCAGGCCGATTTTTGAAAAATGCTGATCCCTTGCCATGAAGGGGAATGCTTGCAACTCTTTCCCAGCAGAGATAGCCGTGTGATGGCTACGTCAGATTGACTCCCCATCGTCCGCGTGAAAAAGTTGCGCGGCTGTCCGTCAGATTGCATGTCTCGGTGAATTTCTTGCGGTTTTTCATGTTCGATTATTTCTTGTTTTTTTTTAATGAACCGTTTCTCGGAGGTGTTGTCTTCTTGGCGGTTAGTAACTTGATTTAAGCATGCGGTCAACAACGTTGATAGCGCATTAAATCTAGGGACGAGAAAATTTTTCTCATAAAAATTTTCAGCCAAGAAGACTTCACCTTTTCTCCTGTGTGCTACAACGGTTTGGCATTTCAGATTATTTGAATTGACCTTGGTTGAAACAAAACTTGGCCTCAGCATGTTGATTCTCTTGTGTGGCAAAATCCTTTTATAGTTTATCCCAAACTTCGCGCAGATCCATTCTCCTGAAAATACTTGCCGTAGTTCACCTGCAGTGAATAAAATTCCATGTTGCGAAGCTTGCAGTGAGTGCATGAAAATCATGTCCATTTTGCCTCAAAGTTTTGTTTCAAGCTGGAAAATTGTTTTTGTCCCACCCAAGGTTGCCTCAACCTTCTCCCACCCTGATTGCGCTGCATACCACAGCCATTTTCCAGTTCGATATCTTGATTCCACCTTAAGACCAAGGTGATGTCGCCCGAACAGATCGTGCGAGTTACAGCAGCCATCTCGATGGCCTTGGCCTTCCTGGAACCAGCAGACCCCGACATTGTTGCGGCGCAAAACGTTCAAGAACGCCGCATTTGTGACTTCGACCGGATGATTGTTGCCTGCCGTTTCATCCTCGAGGTCTGTGGCCAAACCAAATATCTATGTTCCATCTATGAACTCTGGCACCATGCCAGTCAGTCCTTGTATTTGCTTGAGCGAATGTTATGGCCGGGACAGCCGGCAGAAACTTCTTTGCATCTCGTCCTACCACCTCAGGGACGACCATTGACCGAAATTCTCTTGGAAGCCCACACGCCGTCGCACGACGCCATCTTCCAAGCAGTGCCCGCGCTCGAGACCTTTACCGAGTGGTTTGTGCGCCAGTATGACACTGGGCTCCACTCCGACTTCTATGCCACTCTCATCGATGCCATGTTGGTGCTGCGCACTGCCGAGATGATGATCCGCATGAAACGGCGCTGTGACACATTGGCCTTGACCAACCCTGCTGCTGCAGCTCACATGCCAGCTGCCTCGTCCCAGCCGACCGCAGCTTCCTCGTCACAGCCGCCTGCAGCCTCTGAAGATCATACCAATGCATCGCCAGAAACCTCGAGCGCAACGGGCACGCCATTGGAATTTTACTGAGTTGAATGCTGGAGTTGAATGAAAGATGGTGAAAAGTTGTGAGTGGTCGATGATGACCATATGTGGTGGCCGATGCAGGCCGATTTTTGAAAAATGCTGATCCCTTGCCATGAAGGGGAATGCTTGCAACTCTTTCCCAGCGGAGATAGCCGTGTGATGGCTACGTCAGATTGACTCCCCATCGTCCGCGTGAAAAAGTTGCGCGGCTGTCCGTCAGATTGCATGTCTCGGTGAATTTCTTGCGGTTTTTCATGTTCGATTATTTCTTGTTTTTTTTAATGAACCGTTTCTCGGAGGTGTTGTCTTCTTGGCGGTTAGTAACTTGATTTAAAAGAATTTTACTTTATTCCGACTTGAAATACGATCCGCCACGCAGGCCACGCGAAATGAGGATAATTAATCCGCGGCTGAGGATCATCATGCTTATAAGACGCTAAACGGGAAAAAACTTTCCTCCTCCTGATGTTACACCAATCCTTCACTACTCCGCGCTACTCCGCTACTCCGTGCTATGTTGCAATTCAATTACCCAATGTAATTGACACGATATCGAAACGATGACGGAGTAAGAAAGCCTTCAATACTTCACCTTCCCACATCTTTCCCTAAGCAGATTCTTACTCCATCCCGTTTTAAATTTATACTATTAATTAATAACGGGATTGACTGAAAGATCATGATTCATCTTCTGTCCGGGCTGAAAACTTCGGTAGGAGTCTAGAGGGGGCAAGGGGGGAGAGGCATCTAAATGGAAGCCGGCCACCTGCGCGAAAACCCGCACACTCCGCAACAACAAGAAACACCTCAAGCAATCACCTAACGCTGCGAAAGGCTGATAGGCCTTCTTTTAGCAGCAAACAATCAAGCCACCAGACGAAACCAAATAATAAGAAGCTAACTTCCACCGGGTTCAAGCAGCAACGGATATGCACCCCCCGCTTGCCCCAACAAGGAACAAAATCATCTCAAAACAGCTTGCTCCGACGGACCCAATTCTGGGTCCGGAAAACCTTCTCAAAACCGGCTTCGCTCAAAAGGCCTCCCTAGTTGCCTTTCCGGTCGCCATAAGCCACAAATTTTCTTTGACACCAAAACATTACGATTCTTCTTCAACCCTAATGCAAAAAACTTTACTCCATTCTGAAAGTAGATGGCGCAGATTTTTGCAATGCGCCATCTATAGACCACTTGAGGGATGGGGTGTTTTGCGTTCCCGACACACGTCCTTGAAAACAACATGTTTTCCTCATTTTTCCACTAGGTTAGTTTAAACTTAGTATTTAAGATCTGGGGTCCATTTTTTCCCGAGAGCGCCTGCGAAGGGTTCTTCGTAAAAAAGCAGCCGTTATACTAGATCTTCACACCTTCACACCTGCAGATCTAGATCTTCACACCTTCACACCTGCAGATCTAGATCTTCACACCTTCTGCAGATCTACATCTTCACACCTTCACATCTGCTGATCTAGATCTTCACACCCTCACATCTGCAGATCTAGATCTTCACACCTTCACACCTGCAGATCTAGATCTTCACACCTCTGCAGATCTAGATCTGCCGATCTACATCTTCACACCTTCACATCTGCAGATCTAGATCTTCACACCTTCACACCTGCAGATCTAGATCTTCACACCCTCACATCTGCAGATCTAGATCTTCACACCCTCACATCTGCAGATCTAGATCTTCACACCCTCACATCTGCTGATCTACATCTTCACACCTTCACACCTGCAGATCTAGATCTTCACACCCACACCGGCAGATCTAGATCTTCACACCTTCACACCTGCAGATCTAGATCTTCACACCCTCACACCTGCAGATCTAGATCTTCACACCTTCACACCTGCAGATCTAGATCTTCACACCTTCACATCTGCAGATCTACATCTTCACACCTTCACACCTGCAGATCTAGATCTTCACACCTTCAAATCTGCAGATCTACATCTTCACACCCTGACATCTGCAGATCTACATCTTCACACCCTCACATCTGCTGATCTACATCTTCACACCCCCTGACATCTGCAGATCTACATCTTCACACCTTCACACCTGCAGATCTAGATCTTCACACCTTCACACCTGCAGATCTAGATCTTCACACCTTCACACCTGCAGATCTAGATCTTCACAACTTCACACCTGCAGATCTAGATCTTCACACCTTCACACCTGCAGATCTAGATCTTCACACCTTCACACCTGCAGATCTAGATCTTCACACCCTCACATCTGCAGATTTAGATCTTCACACCCTCACATCTGCAGATCTAGATCTTCACACCCTCACACCTGCAGATCTACATCTTCACATCCTCACACCTGTCAAGTATCTAGATCTTCACACCCTCACATCTGCAGATCTAGATCTTTCACACCCTCACACCTGCAGATCTAGATCTTCACACCCTCACATCTGCAGATCTCAGATCTTCACACCTTCAAAACACCTGCAGATCTAGATCTTCATCACACCCTCGAACATCTGCAGATCTAGATCTTCACACACCCTCACATCTGGCAGATCTAGATCTTCACTCCTTCACATCTGCTGATCTAGATCTTCACTCCTTCACATCTGCTGATCTAGATCTTCACTCCTTCACATCTGCTGATCTAGATCTTCACTCCTTCACATCTGCAGATCTATATCTTCACACCCTCACACCTGCAGATCTAGATCTTCACACCCTCACACCTGCAGATCTAGATCTTCACACCCTCACACCTGCAGATCTAGATCTTCAGACCTTCACATCTGCAGATCTCCTCTCGCTCTTCTTCTATTCTCTCTTAAGGCGGGGGCGGTGCCGCCGGAGCGCCACGAAACGCAACCCTTTCGCACGAAATGGACGTTGGACGTCCAAAACCTAGGTAAAATTGCGATTTTGAAGCGTCGCCGGCAACCCTTTCGCACGAAATGGACGTTGGACGTTAAAAACTGAGGAAAAATTGCAACTTTGAAGTGTCCCGCGCAACCCTTTCGCACGAAATGGACGTTGGACGCTAAAAACTGAGGAAAAATTGCGACTTTGAGGTGTCCCGCGCAACCCTTACGCACGAAATGGACGTTGGACGTCAAAAACTGAGGAAAAATTGCGACTTTGAGGTGTCAATCGCAACCCTTACACACGAAATGGAGGTTGGACGTCAAAAACTGAGGTAAAATTGCGATTTTACTTTGCCCATCGCAACCCTTTCGCACGAAATGGACGTTGGACGTCAAAACCTGAGGAAAAATTGCGACTTTGAGGTGTCCCGCGCAACCCTTACGCACGAAATGGACGTTGGACGTCAAAAACTGAGGAAAAATTGCGACTTTGAGGTGTCAATCGCAACCCTTACACAAAATGGAGGTTGGACGTCAAAAACTGAAGAAAAATTGCGATTTTACTTGGTCAATCGCAACCCTTTCGCACGAAATGGACGTTGGATGCAAAAACTGAGGAAAAATTGCGATTTTACTTGGTCAATCGTAACCCTTTCGGACGAAATGGACGTTGGACGTCAAAAACTGAGGAAAAATTGCGATGGACGCTTTCGTTTCTGTACAAGTGTCTGTGTGTAAAAGCGTCTGTGTGTAAAAGCGTTTGTGTTTGAAAGCGTGTGTGCGTGTGTAAAAAGCATCTGCGTGTAAAAGCGTCCTGTGTAAAAGCGTTTGTGTGTCAACGCGTCTGTGTGTAAAAGCGTTTGTGTGTGAAAGCGTTTGTGGGTGAAAGCGTGTGTGCGTGTGTAAAACGTATCTGCGTGTAGAAGCGTCTGTGTGTAAAACCGTCTCTGTGTAAAAGCTTTTGTGTGTAAAAGCGTCTGTGTGTAAAAGCGTCTGTGTGTAAAAGCGTTGCGTCTGTGTGTAAAAGCGTCTGTGCGTAAAAGTGTTTCTGTGTAAAGGAGTTGTAGAGGTTACCAAGTACCTCTTTCCTGGGCTCAGACGTGGACGTAGAGACAAGATGCATTGTGCACAGAGTGAACATCCATATTCTTATATGTACGCTGAATGTTCGTGAAACAAGTGAGGATTGGCAAACGGGTATCTGTAACATTTCTTGCACTTCTCGAGGTTTCTGTAGGGTCAGTCCATGAGATCTCGAGAATTGCAGTGTTTGTTTACGATGCAGTGGATCTATGTGATGTATAGCACGAAAAACATATATGTGTTGTTTTCATTCAAATTATGAGCAGTGGACAAAAAAGATAATTCGGGAATCACTGCACCGTTCAATTTTGTCTGGGCCGCTCGGCAATGGCCGCGTGGAGACCGCCGGAGGATGAGGAAGTGGCATGGGTGTTGGAAGTTGTGGGGTGCAAGCGATCTCATCTTGGAGACATGTCGGAGGATGAGTTCCGATACATCTATTCAAATGAATATCATGTGGTTTTAGTCGGCGATTCACGGGACCCATTTGCTTTTTTTTGGAAGTGTGTTGATTTGATGTGTTCATTGCAAGCTTCACTGTTCAGTTTGCAGGTCTCTGCGACAATGGTGCCCATGCCCAGTGTCAAACTTAGCAATTGTGCCCTGAGCGTCGAAGTCGGAGAACGATTTCTTGGCATTGGATTGTGCGAGTGCGTAGCTCACTGCATCTTTCTCACTGCATATTCAAATGAATAACATGTGGTTGTAGTCGGCGATTCACGGTACACAATTTTTTTGAAGTGTGTTGATTTGATGTGTTCATTGTAAGCTTCACCGTTGACCAGCCTTCAGTTTGCAGGTCTCTGCGACAGTGGTTCTTTGCCATGTCAAACTCATGAGTGGTGTTCTCAGTTTGGAAGTCAGAGAACAACTGCTTTGCAGTGGATTGTGCAACTTTGCAGCGACAAGCATAGTTTACCTCTTTATCTCTTTCCTGGGCTCAGAGGTGTACGTAGAGACAAGATGCATTGAGCACGGAGTGAACATCCATATTCTTATATGTACGCTGAATGTTCGAGAAACAAGTGACGATTGGCTAACAGGTATCTGTAACATTTCTTGCACTTCTCGAGG